ATTACTAATAAGGAGGGTATCATTTTGCTATTTGTTTTCTATATGTCTTGTAGGAAAATACAATTCATATTAGACAATATAAATAGACTCAGAAATAAGAGATGATAGTACTATCAAACAAGACCATTAAAACAGCTACTGTAATTTTGCTCATATATTTAAAGGAAACCTGAACACAAGGAAAGAAATGGGAGGTATTAAAAAGAATCAAATGGAAAAAAAAAGAACCAAATGGAACTTCTAGAGATGAAAAATATAGTATTTGAACTAAAATTTCACTGGCTAAAAATTAACATCAGATAAGATATTCTGGAAAAAACATCAATTTAAGTTGAAAATATAGTGTGGGAGTCAGAATCTATGACAGCTTCCAAGTTTCCTAAACTCTGGTATATAATTCCCTTTTTCCTTGAGTAGGATGAGAGCTGTGAATATGAGGGGATATAACCCCTTGGTTAGGTTTTGTTATAAGGCAAAGGCAATGGGATAGTTGCTCCCATGATTACATTATATAAAACTCCATCATAGCAGACTGGAGAGATATTCTGTTGTGGTCTTGGAGGAAGTAAGCTACAATGGACCATGTGGCTAGGCTGTAAAAATGGGTTCTTAGCAACAAGAGCAATACACTGCCAACAGCTTTCAATACTCTGAAAACAGGGATGACTTCAGTCTTAGAACAATCAGGAGCTAAATTTGGGTAAGTTAGTGAGCTTGGAAGAGAGCCCTCACCCTTAGATGAGCTTGGAGTCCCAACTGTTACTCCAGTCACAGCCTGGTAAGACTCTAAGAGGACCCATCTAACCTATGGCTGAGATACTAAACTTATGTTATTTTAAGGTTTGAGGTAATTTTTTACAAAGCAATAAAAAACTAATATACACAGCAATGGAATTTATCCAAAATGAAGCAAAAAATTAAATAGGCTAAAATAAAAGTTAACAGAGTCTTAGTAACCTGAGGGATACTGGTAATATTGTACTCTCTAATATCTATGTAATTGGAATTCCAGAAACACTGAGGAGGGGAAAAGGCAAAAAATTTTTTGAAGAAATGTGGAAAATGTGTCCAATATGATGAAATGATGCTTTCACAGGTCTGAGAATTTCAGTAAACCCAAAACAGGACACAAATATGTGCACATGTGTACAGGTGTGCACAGGCACACACATGTGCACATCCTCCCAACATAAATTATAATTAAATTCCAGTAACAAAGGAACAATCTTCAAAAGCAGGCAGAGGAAGGGAGAGATTACATGGGAACAAAGCTAAAAAAAACTATAGACTTTTCATAAGAAACTACACAAAACAGAAGGCAGAGGGGTTGAATGCTTTCTGATGGCAGACTTGAAATCAGTGAGTGTGTCAGCCTGTGCCCCTTGTGGAGGGGGTTATGGTGGAAGATGTGACATTCTGTATTTCATCTATAAGATAATATTCCCCTCAACCTAAAGGGATCTGGCCTGTGGTTTTTACTGAGGTCCTGGCTTCTGTCCAGCCTTCCTTGTTCCTTCTCTGATTCTTTTTTTATTTTTTTAATTCTTTTATTGGTACAATTTAGGTATACAATTCATTTACATTTCTCATTGGGATCTTGTACCTATACATGATGTATCTTAGTTCTTACTTTTTCCCCTTCCCCTGCCCTCCCTTCAACCCCTCCATCCCTCCCTATTTACAAAGACTTTGTTTCCATTTTTTCCATTTTCTCATAATTTTTCCTTTCCCTTCTTTCCTTTCCCCTACCCCTCCCAGTTCCCCTTCCCCTTTGCCCCTTTTCTTCCTATTTAACATTATCTATTATACCTTTTAGTCCTTATTTACACTTTCAGTTTCTTACACTGTTCCTTCTCTGATTCTACACTTGATCCTACACCTTCTAGGAATTTCTTGGAGATTCCCCAATAGCCTTTCAGTATATTTTCTTTCTGCTTAAATCAGGTGTAATTAGTTTCTGTTAACAGGAAACTAGTAACTCTTAAAAACAGGAAACATTTGGGCCAGGGATTTAGCTCAGCAAGTTCTGGAATTTGATCCCTGGTACCAAAAAAAAAAAAAAAAAAAACATTTTAAAATTTATTTTCTACTTTCTTATCACCATTTTAATTTGGTAGGGTAGGGTTAAGTTAACTTAGTACTTTTTCTAAGACATTATAGCTACCTCCATACAGCTTTGTATAGTTCTTAAATTTTTCCTTCAGAATTTCTTTCCCATCTATGCTTTCCTTACCACATCTGTGCTTGAATTATTTCTTGACTAGGTTACTGTTATAGGCTGAATTGTTCCTTCCCACCCACCAAAGTCGTATGTTGAAGTCTTCACACTCAGTGTGACTATATTTGTAAATACTGCTATTAAGGAGATAATTTAGGGTAAATGAGGTCATAAGAACAAGTCCCTAATCTGATAGGACTGGTATTCTTTTTTTTTTTTTTTTTTGGTATGGGAGATCAAACTCAGGTCCTTAGGCTTGCGCAGCAGACGGCAAAACCACTGAGCTAAATCCCTGGCCCTGGTATTCTTGTAAGAAAAGACAGAGAATGCACTTCTCTTTCCAAGTATATCTAGAGGAAATGGCATGAGGACATAGTCAGAAGTCAGTCATCTATATGTTAGGAAGAAAGTTCTCACCAGGAACCAACTTTGCTAGCACCTTGATCTTGATCTTTTAGCTTCCAAAACTGTGAAAACATACGTTTCTGTTAAGTCAGTGATACTATTTATGGCACCACCAGTTTACTAACACAACTGTTGATAATCATAAGGTAGCTAGAATACAGCCTTCAGACAACATAGACAGTAGAATGATCTTAAAATTCCTAAAACTGAGTGGAGAGCTCCCTGCTACTTAGAGATTTTAGTGAACTTGACTTAAACCTTCAGTTTCACAGAACATAAAAACCACTGACTTTCATTTATTCAAATTTCTAAACTTATTTTTTCATGGTCCAGTGGATCCATTCCTGAAACTTAAGTGGTATATCATCAGTTCAACCCTCTGCCAGCTGGTATATAAAATCTGACGATCTTCACTATCATCCATAAGAAATGAAATTAACTCATGATTTTGTAACTTTACTCAAGGCTCTAGAACTATGGAAGGAAATGATAATCCGTATTGCGCAGGCTTCTCTGTCTACTTGGTTTTCCCTTTGACGCTGCACTGCCTTCCAAAAGTAATAATTCACTAGGTGACTATCCCCACAACCCTCTGAGAAATAAATTCTAGTTTTCTTTCCCTTTGCTGGGCCTGTTTCACTTCCTCAGCATCTGAGTTATTCTACTGAATAAACATTTTTCCATTCCTTCACACAGACATCTTACATATCACTCTCTTGTTTGGACTCATTTGTCACCTCCTGATTGCCTATATGCAGAGTCTAAACTCTAATGTAGCATAGTATCTCTGCGGCCTTTTTTCTCCACTCTCCAATACACATCACCCACAAATGGAGCCTCCTAAGCACATTCAGGCCTATTGGGCATGGTAGCTACTCTGTCATAGATCTGAGCGCCTGGTCCAGTGGTGTCAACTGCTACTTTCTTTTGCCTGCTTTTATTTTTTTTAAATGGTCTTTGTGGGCCGGCCCTCCTATCTCTTGGACCACCCTCTACAGTTTTCAGTTATCTTCAGCCTCCTCTCTTGGAGTGCCTGGCACAATGTAGGTACTCAATTATTATGTGGTATATGAATATACATAGAAGTGAACAAATAAACACTGATGCTTGAAATCTTCCAAAGGGTCTCATTGTTTAGATGGTGCTGCCCAAAGTCTAAAGACTGATGTAAGAGATCCTCTAGAATCTGTAGTAGCTTCTATACTCTCCCCTGGTATCTTCAGGGGATTGCTCATAGCACTGCCAAGGTCACCAGACTCTGCAAGTCTCTTAATTAAAATGGACCTACACACATCCTCTCATATACCTTATCTCTAGAATACTTGTAACACCTAATATGATATAAACACTATGTAAATAGTTGTTAAACTGTGTTATTTAGGAAATACACTCATGGGCCTGCTGCATAACATTTCAGCCAATCATGGATTGGATTTTCTATATGGCAGTGATCTCATAAGATAGTGAAGCTGAAAAATTTCTATCATCCAGTGACATAATAGCCATCGTGGCATCAGAGCACAATATATTATTCTGGTGATGCTCATGTAAAATGAACCTACTGTACAGCTAGTTGCATAATTATGTACAATACATGTACTTGAGGATAATAATAAATGATTATGTCACTGGCCTATGTATTTACTGTACTGTACTTTTCATCATTGTTTTAGAATATACTCCATCTACTAATAAAAAGTTTACTGAAGGGCTGGGGATTTACCTCAGTGGTTCTGCTGCCTGCCTCACAAGTGCAAGGTCCCAAGTTCGATCCCCAGTACCAAAAAAAAAAGTTTACTGAAAAGTCTGCTATGTTATATCAGCAGAAAATTAATACACCTCATATTTATATCTCTATTGTATAATATTCTCTTGTGCTTGATTTAATATCTTGTTTTGTTTATCATGATCCCAGGAGCAACAGGCTATAACACACACTCACACACACACACACACACGCATGCACACGCCTACATTCTATGGTGTAAATATACATCATACAGATATATGTTTCTGTTAAAAACACTGTATTATGTTTGCACAATTTCATAGTGTATCCTTACTGTTAAGCAGCAGAGGTCTAATGATAAAAACACAAGTCTGTACACGTTCAATACAGACAAACCATTACAGGCCTAACTATATAATGCACAATAGCAACATAACTTTTTTTCAAGCGTTTTCTGCTGGTGCTTGGTTGAATCCTTTGATATAGGGAGGACTGACTATACAGTACTTCCTAACTTCTCCCTTCTCCCCATGCCCCAGATTTCCCATGTGCCCTCAGCTCTTGTCAGAGATGGGAAAAGCAAATCCTGTCTTCTGGAAGCAATGGGTAGGGATGAAGAAAAAGGAAGGGCAAGGTTTCTGACTTTACCTCTGAAAATTCTGGAGGCTTCAAGCAATTTTTCTTCTTTGACCTCTCTCCACCTGGAAGGAAGCAGACCATCTATAAACTCACAGGCCTCTTTCTAAAAAGAGAAGGTAGTGGCCAGAAAAGAAACTTTTTGCAGTCAGATTCTCGCTTGAGCAGAGGGTCTGTGCTTCCTCCTTTAAACAAGTCACAAATCAAGAAATGATGATCCTCCTCTAACTAAAAAACCATAGATTCCTCTAACTTTCCCCTTCCAGGATTTTCCCTGCCTTTTCTACCTTAAAATTTGTAATCCTGTAGCATTTACCTTGCAAGGATTAGCAAAAATCATTTTCTTGGACAAATAAAAAGAGTATGGCCCAGAAAGGGGCAGTGATTTTCTTAAAGTCACTCAGCAACTAAAGGGCATGGCCAATGCTAAAACCCAGTCTTCCTGGTCCGTGAGCTTGCTCACTGCACAGCACCCTGCTCTGTCACGTCATGACAGGTGGGAAGGGAGGCACTTGTCTGGACACCCTCCATTCCCTATCTTCTAGCTGCTACTCTACACTGAATCTATCCTAACAGCCTTGATTAAGCTTCAGTGACACTCTTTACCCTGAAAATATTATCTTGTGTTGAGAAGGAGGAAGGAGTGAGAGGAGCTACAGGGAGCATGAAAAGAAATGAGATGTTCATATTATAACTCTTGTCTTTCCATGTAGAGATATAGAAAGAATGTAACTGGTTTTTTTCTCAAATTTCTATAAGAACTCATTTATTATTTCTATTTTAGAAAACTTCATTTAAAAATTACAGATAAATACTTACCAGTGAAAACAAAATATGGCAGCAATGAAAATTGCAGAAACAATATCCAGGAGGAGCCATATGGACAGATAATACCGTGGTGTCTGCAAAACATAAAATAACCACAATTAAAGAACTTTATAATTGGAAGGATTTGGGATTATATGGGTCAAGTCCCTTGCTCTGCTGTCCAGGCTGGATAAAAAGAGGAAGTGGAACAGAAAAGGTACAGGAGTTTCAAATATAGATTATCTGCAGCTATTCTAACCTCACCATCATGCATGCAGGGGCTCAACAAGGAATAAAACACTCCACACCCTTTAGATCCCCTAACCCTCAAGACAGAGGTCTGAGGAAGACTCAGAGAAGCCAAACAGCAAGTCAGTTCTGGACCCAGGACTCCAGCACAGGTTTTTTGATTTACAGTACTCTATGTTTTCATGACAAAGCTTCCTAAACTTGTCTCCTGAGCAGCGTTTAGTAATAAAGGCTCATGGGTCTAACTACAGACCTAAGAGATCAAAATCTCTGTTTTTAACAAGTTCTTCTGGTGATGCTGAAGCAACTAGGCTGTGAACCAGAATTTCGGAAGCATTGCTCTGAATCACCATTCTTCAAATAAATTTGTTGAACTATAATTTCTTTTTACCTACATGCCCACTGCTCCATGGTCTTTGTTCAAATCACCTGTTTCCCAAGCTCTGTCTCCTCCGTCTAACATGAGTTTTACAATCTCCTGGTTTGATCTTTCCCTCCATTCCCACCTCCATTGCTCCCCTTCTAGTTTTACTTGATACCACTGGGGCTTGTGCTTTTTATTCTTTCTCAGACTATTCTTCACCCTATTCCAAGGTCCTTATTCAAGCCCAAGCTGAATAAAAATATTAATAATAACTTTATTATTGATATGTGATCATGACAACAATAACACCAATTAATGTGTGTTTACTAGGAGTCTGGTAAGTATTCTAAGCCTATTTTAACCTGTATGCAAGGATTTTCAACACTTTAGGGGTATTTTCACATTTAATCCTCACAATAGTCCTACTAGGTAAGTACAATAGAAGCTCGCTTCCATTTTCCACTAAACTGAGGCACTTAGTCCCTTCTGGGAAACACACTGATTGATGCTTCAGTCTGCTGATTGTCCCAGGATGCCCACCAAGAGAAACTAAATGTTCACCAAGAATCAGTTGTCTTTGTTCTCAAATGCCTTAATCACAGGTCAACTGTATTTGTTATTATAATTATCCAATGCGATTATATGTTGGTCAAATCTGTAAAATATGAATGAAAAGATGTGATTTTCAAGAAATCTAAGTCAATTGATTTTAAAAACTCAATGAGCATAAAATATGTCATCAAAAATATAAACTGCAGGGCCGGGGATTTAGCTCAGTGGTCTCGCCGCCTGTCTTGCAAGCGGAAGGTCCTGAGTTTGATCCTTGGTACCAAAAACAAACAAACAAACAAAAATATAAACTGCAATTGGATTGTGTATGGGTGAAACACTGAGAGATTAAGGTAGAGGGACTATTAGATCTAGGTGAATTCCTCATTCTGGTTGTTTCTCCCAGGGACTTTACATTCTTGTTCCATTTTAAAGAAACAAAAATTAAAAATCATAGCTATGTTTAGTTCACTTGGATGTTTAAATAAGCGAGAGAATGTAGAACTCAATCAAGCAAAGTATACAACAAGAAAAGATTTTGTCTGTCAAAAGGTGAATGATTTTAAATTAAAATGAGTTGAGGTGTGTGTGTCATATACTGTACACTAAAATGACCACAGTATTCCTTCCACACCCAAATGCAGGCTCCTAAACAATATGATTAGTTGTGCCCCTCTCCCCATCAAAAGGTGAAGTCTAGAGACCTTGTATCTGGACTTGGATGTGTGGTTTCTCTGGCCAATGGAAGACTGTAAAACACTAGGGGAAAAGTGAAAAGAGTCCATACATTGGGGTTTGCCCTCACTTGCTGCTGAGAACTCACTATCATCAGGGCAATACTCTCCAGCTAGCTTCCTTGCAGGGGAGACTCCAGACCAATCGGTGAGGCTCTCCTAGTCCTAGACCATTCAACCTAACCTCACAGGCTTAGGGCAGAGCAACCACTTAGTCACCTTACATAACATAAGACCTAAGAAAACTCCATTTGAAGACATTAAGTTTTAGGTGCTTTTTGTTAAACATTAAAAGCTAGCTGGTAGAGTATTGTCTCTTTTTAGTGATTTATCCACCTTAACTTTCTCAATTAACAGACCAATGGTTAGACCATATTGTGTTGAATAAAAGTGAATCTATTGTACTATCATCTCCAACTTGAAAACCACAAAACAGATACAGACAGGTTAACGGTTATTTCCACGTTCATACAGTGAGTGCTGGAGCCCAGATCTGAAGCTGCACAATCTAACTCTGGAGCACAGGCTGCCTAGAAAAGCTCTACCTCGCTAAACAAAATGACACATTATTAGTCCTTTCAAAAAAAAGCCTGGGCTAAGTGTGGAAGTTTTTGGGTTTTTTGACTTACATTCTTCTATTCTTTTTGAACTTGGAGTCATATGAATTTATTACCAGTTCAAATACTGAAATAAAAAAGGGACTTTCAGAAATAATAGCAACATATAAGTAAAAGGGTATTCTCAAACTTGGAGACATTATTACATGTGCTGCCGAAGCGAGCACTCAAACTTGGAGACATTATTGATTCAGGGAGACAGAATTAGGAGGGTGTGTTGTTTTCTAAATTGAACATTTCCATAATTGAATTTTATATAATGAACTACTTTACTTTTATAATCAATCGTAAAAAACAAAAATGTTATAAAAATATATGGTGTAGGGGCCGAGGATTTAGTGCAGTGGTTCTGCCGCCTGCCTCACAAGCGCAAGGACCCGAGTTCGATCCCAGGTACAAAAAAAATGGAAAGGCTTACCCTGTGCTGAGGAATCTGTCGCTCAAAGTTCCCTTCATAGTTATTTCCAAAAAGCTGTTTAAGTCACCAGAGAAAGGAGCCAGCAACTCCATATTTCTACCAGAAATAACACAGTGCTGGCCCCATGAGATTATGTGTATGTGCCTGACCCTGGTCCCGTGTCTCCTGGTCCAGATCCTGAACAGGTCAGAAACAGGGACCAGTGAGAGAGAGTGGAGGTGTGGGGAGGACAACCTGAACCCCCTCTACCACAGGCTTCTCTGCCTAAGTTTTAAATGTCAAAGGAGTAAAATTAAACTGTTTTCTAGCTGGGTATGGTGGCATGTGTCCCAACTACTTGGGAGGCTAAGGCAGAAGGATCATTTGAGCCCCAGAGTTCAAGGCCAGCCTGGACAACATAATGATATCCTGTCTTTAAAAACAAAACAAAACAAATAAACAGAAAAACCCATTTTCTGCTGTATGTTATTGTGCCCTACTCAGTCAACCTGCTTTCCATACAGATAAGAAACACAGGCCCAGGCTCCCCCCACAGGTAATAAGTGATGAAATTTAGTTGAGATTGCAACCATGTCTTCAGGTCCTCAATCCTCTGGCAATAAGGAACAGAAGGGATAGAACAGGAAACCAGGCAACTAGACACTGGCTGTCCTCTTCAAGAGCATTTATCTGAGGCACAGTTTTGACTTTAGAGTCAAGTACACTTAGTTTTCTTCCCACACCATATGTCATTGTCCATTGCGGCTGTACGTCTAGGTATCTGGGGCTGCAATAATACAACTCTGGAGTAAGACCTCGTTCTGAATCTTACCTCACAAGATCATGTGCAAAGATAACATTGAGATTTAATTTCCTTGTGGAGGTAATGATAGTAGCCAAGTCAGAGGACTGAATTACATACTGCACTAATATAAACTGTAATGATTCAATAAATGAAAATCACAGAAGGATTTGGGTGAAAAAATGGAGGATGCCACATTTCTGGTATCACGGAAGTCTCTGCTCTTAAGTAGCTCCCCAGGAGACTATGCAGTGGATAGCACCGGGGTGGAGCACATGGACCACAGTTATACCAGGCTAAGAATAACAATTTGGACAAGTAGCTCACCATGAAGAAGTGAGGGTGAGTAAGCTGACTCAGAACTGGAATGTTGTCTGTTGTCACTGAGTTAATTCTGGAGCACCAGGCCAGTGAGAAAATCCAAGGCTCATTTACAATGTATAAATTGATATAGATATTAGCTGCTTGATAATCCCTGGAACAAAAACAGAATCCACAGGGGATTTTTGCTCTCAGCATCTACAAGAGGAACAGCCACCATGCTTGTGAAAGGTTGATGGCTAAATCATCAGAAGGAACTGATCCAGGGACACATTATAATTCATGGTGACAGAAAGGGCTCATGCTATAAGATAAAGGGTTGAATCTAGTAACTCTGCTTCTGTAGCAGCAGTGGTGAGCTGGTAACTATATGTCCTATGGGGAATTTAATGAAAGAGAAGAAGAGAGATGGAGAGAGGAGGAGAAAGAGAGGGAGAGAGGAGGAAAAAAAGAAAAAAAAAGGAAGGAAATAAGGAAGGAAGAAAGGAAAGGGAAACAGAATGAGGAGGGTGAGGCTCTGTTTGTAGCATTTGCAAGCTTCCAAGTCAATTTCAAGTTACTGTTGGGAAAAACCAATTTGCATAGTCCCTGACTAACTCCTTGGCTTTTTCAAGCTGGGATGGGCTTCCTCAGGCATGCCTTCACTTGCATCTCAGCACTTAGCACCTCTTAATAATCTGCTCACCTATCACTATTCTTATACTCGACTCTATGTAACTTAAAACAGAAACTATGTCTCACTCATCTCTTGTATATACAGACCTAGTACAATACCTAGTTCCAAAACATTAGTTGAAGGTATAAAATAAATACCAATCTAGTGAACATTTTAAATTTCAAATATAAAGAATTTTTACACGAACTGAGTCAGGCGAATAAAACCTATTTTTTTTCCCAAGGCTGAACAGGAAGAAAACTAGTGAAGGAACACATCTAGTAATTCTAGTCAAGCTGCTACCTTCAGGGATTCAATTCCCACAAAAAAATACCATGTAAGTGCTTTCAATTTTTTTTAACCCTGACAAGGTATGCCATGTTGGAAACTGCTCTGTGTAAGCCTATGTTTGAATCCTATCTCTATCATATATTAGCATGGCATGCTCTTAGCCTTAGTTATAAACTTAAGAATAATAATCCTTTTCAGGGAGTGGTGGCAGTTACTTAATGTGTAAGAATTGTCTCTAATACAATTCTACAGTTCTTCTAATGACAATTTTTTAAAAATTAGGAAACAATAGTAAAAAGTTACTTCTTTGAGTCTTTTGAAACCAAAACTTAAAAACCAACTATGTTTATATAAATTAATAAGGAATGTGTGGAAATTTAATAATCAAAAAACAATAAACGTTGGTGAGGCTGCAGTGAAAAGGGAACCCTTCTACACTCTTGGTGGGAATGTGAACTAGAACAATGACTATGGAAATCAGTATGGCGATTTCTCAAAAAACTAAAACTATAAAGATATATTAAAGATATATTAGTGCTCACTTCAGCAGAACATATACTAAAATTGGAATGATACAGAGAAGATTAGCATGGCCCCTGCACAAGGATGACATGCAAATTCATGAAGCATTCCATATATATATATACACAAATATATATATACACATACAAATATATATATACGTACAAATATACATATATATATATATATATTTTGGTACCAGGGATCAAACTCAGGTTCTTGTGCTTGTGCAGCAGGCAGCTAAACCACTGAGCTAAATCCTCGACCCTCCATATTTAAAAAAAAGATATATTATATTATATTATATTATATTATACATGCATACCAATGTTTATAGCAGCATAATTCATAATAGCTAAATCTTGGAAGAGACCTATACGTCCATCACTAGATGAAAAGACAAAGAAAATGTGGTATTTGTACACAATGGAATAATAAATACTTTGCCCTAAAGAAAGCTAACCTTGAGTCATTTGTAGGAAAATGGATTTCTTACATGAGTAACTCAAACTATAAATAAATTATAGAGCAAAATAAAAGATAGTAGGAAATAGGGTGAGAGATCTTTTGCATAAGGGAATAGAACCAAGATATGGATGGAGGGGGATTGAGATGAGGGGAAGGAGATTAATAAAAAATGAGATGTATTATATCATGTAGCACCTTCCCACAATGAATGCAATCATTATGTCCTGCAAACCCGTACTAATAAAATTCTTTTAAGTGTGTTGTATGATGAGAGATTATAGCTCAAAAGAGGAGGAGCTCAAATCTATCTTCTGGGGGGGATAGTCTACATACACTTCATAATGTTTATTAGTAGAGGTAAGGTTGGAGAGGCAAGAAGGAGAAAGTAGAAGGACTAAAAATGATAATCACACAAAGAAATCTGAAAATGAGAAGGGGAAATTAAATATCTTAGGGGATATGTATACTTTATACAAGTAAGGCGATACATGCCAAGAGAAGTATGGTCACTTACCTTAACCCTTTGTAGAATAACCTCTTGTAGTCCACATTTATTATACTGATATTTTCTTTTGTTAGGTGTTCAACAGAGACTAAACGGCCCACATGCTGAAAACCAGGGGCCATGAACCTGACATACTGCCTATCATGACCTGGCAACCAAAAAATCTGCAAGTAGAAACAGGAAATCCTTTAGTGGTTAATGAGCTCTAGTTATAAATAGCCCCATAGAGAATGGAATCTCCATTCTAGCACTGGTAGTAGTCTATAAGAAGCAGGGGAAGATTCTAGTCCTTGGTGAAGCAGTCAATCTGGCCTAATATTGTCTAATGAACTCTTAAAATGAGAACCAGGATTTTCTTAAAGCTGAGTTTTCCCAGGACCTCTCTATTCATGAGTTAACATTATGGGCAAGAGCCCACTGTGTATAGAAAGCCTAATATAAAAAAATGGATGAGGACTGGTGATGAAACTCAGTGGTAGAGCACTTACCTACCATGCACAAAACCCTGGGCTCAATGCCCAGGTCAAAAAAAAAAAAAAAAAAGGACAAGAGTTTGGTAAATTTGGTAGATATGGATAAAAGATGAGAATCAAAAAAATGTATGGTAAATGCTAAAAATAATCTTTAAAATGAGTTATTTCCTGCCACTAGGGTTGCTGTTATTAATCATCTGTGGTAATAGTTCCATTTGTTAAAACATATACATATATTTGTTCACTCACAGAACTCATATTCTGAGAATTTAGGTGATTTGGAATAATTGACAACTTAAATGTAGAGTGTTGGTTCTGAAAAATATGATGAAGAAATTTCTAATAAGAACCAGTTGTCTTTCCATATCACTCATCAAAGCTAATCCCCAAAGCTTTAGTGGCTCTAATAGATCTATGTTGGTGATGGTGCAAGTCATATTACATAATAATTACACATATTCCTCTTCAACAAGGTACAGATATTTCTCTTGGTTTGAAATAGTAGACAATCTCAACGTTTTTCCCCACTGAGATAAATTCAACTGGGGCATTCTCAGATAACCACATGTAGCTATATATAAAATAATCTTGCAGCTGGGCATGGTGGCATACGCCTATAATCCCAGCACACGGGAGGCTGAGGCAATAGGGTCGCCATGAATCTGAGGCCAACCCAGGCTACATAGAGACTTCAAAGACACCCTGAACTACATAGCAAGACCGTGTCTCAAAAAATATATAATCTTGGGCTGGGGATTTGGCTCAGTGGCACCGTGCCTGGCTCACAAGGGCAAGGTCCTGAGTTCAATCCCTGGTATGAGGAAAAAAAATTTTTTAAATATATAATCTTAATTCCCATAGGAAGCAAAATTATTTAAGGATTTAAGATTGAAAAATTAAGTTAAATTCAACTACTGTGCTTTGGGGACACACTACCCATACCTCCCAATCTCAACCCTAAATATTAAGACAGACATACCAGATTTTGTTCAATTTTAGAAGCAAGGATCACGCTTACTACCTGATGGACAAATGTGTGTCTGAGAGGATGTTTTTGTGGAGGGCCAAAAAGATCAAATATCACAATTTTTTTTTCCTTCTTTGCAATTTTCAATAAATCAGCTAGTCGTGGAATTGACTGGTTTCTTGCTCGTTTTTTATCAGCCTGTGATAGACGTTTCATATTGAAAAATGGTCTCGTCTAAAAATAAATACATCAAAGAAAATATTGATGCCCATCAAAAGTATTTTCCAGTTCTCCTGCTTTGTAGCCCCACACACTTCCATTTTGTTCTATTACCACTCAATCCCCTGGGCCCTCTGAAATACTAGTTCTGAGATAGGAATTGGCAAGGAAAGAAAAAAATGTAATTTCCATGGGTAATTATGGTGTTTAGAATGATTTCCACTATATTCTAGGACTTCTTGTATTTGCACTGAAGGTCTTGAGTGTTCTCATCTTGGCCTTCCTTTCCAGCCTTTTTTCTACAACTCAGACTAAACATCCCTTTCAGTCACACTGTCTTTATGCATGTGCTCTCACTGCTTTAGTTTTGTGTAACAAAAAGAATATATGTTTTGACTTCCAAATGAAAAGGATTCAATCCTAGTTCTATTCCTCCCTTACTTGCCTTCTTTGCTAGTAGCCACCTGCTAAAATCCTACTTCTAACTTAAACTTTTCCTTAAATATTCCTGAGCTAAAGAGAGTTCAGTGGTCATTAAGCCCTGATGGCCCATTTTTATGCCTCTAATAATGCATGTCTCATTCTACCTTACATGGTTATTTGTCCATATCTTATACTATTGTTTAAATCCTGGCTCAATATGATTCTTACTATACAACCTTGATGAAATAATTTGAATTCTCAGACTTCATCACCCACTCCATCAGAGTGGAAGGGTAATCTATATATTCCTTAGGATTATATTGAAAGCTAAGTCTTATAAAATATTTATAGGGTCTGGGAGCATGTTTCATGCATAGAAAAGTACACGATTCACTTCTTATTCTCTACTGATTCTTACTGGAGTTAGAATCTGTCATGGCAGGAACTGTTGTATATTCTCTGCAATGCATGGCACTTCACTTTATACATAGCAGGCTCTACATATGTTATATTAAATTAATAGATGTCTACTCTATTATCATTTGCCAGTTTTAGATCACTTGTAGGTGAAGCAAGTGATAAAAATATCTTCAGGAGAAGGAAGAAGTAGCTACCTCACATTTTCTTAAGACTCAAGTAATCTCTCTTTTTCTCAATGCAACTTCATTGTCATTCTCATTCCCCTCTTTCCATTTCTTCTCCTCCTTCCCTTACCTTCCTAAATAAGCTGTCCTTTCTTGCATATGTGAATAGCTTTCCTTTGCTTTGCCCTTCTGCCATTATGTTTTTGCCTTGGACCCAGCCAAGCTGAAATGTCTGAAACTGAGCCAAAATAAATCTTTTCTTCTTTAAATTGTGTTTGTCGGGTATTTTGTTACAGCAAAAGAAATATAACTAACTGAAAATTGTTACCAGAGATGTGGGATTGTTGCTGTAAGTATACCTGAGCTTGTGGTTCGGAATGTGAGAGAAAAGATTAGAGAATCAGGCTACAGATATCCTAGCAGTAGAGATTGATAGGCAATTCTGTTGGTTTCAGAAGACCAGAATGGTTAGAGGAATGTGGAAAGTGAAGACTATTCTCATGAAGTTTCATATGAGAATGAGGATTCTATTGGAAATTATTATATTCTAGCAAAGAGTTTGTCTACATTTTGTCCACATCCTATGACTTCGTGTGAGGCTGAATGTAAAGGTGTCATGAATATTGTTGGCTGCCATATCCTCAGTGATAAATGGGAACAAACTACCTGAAATACGGAAAAAAATTTTTCAGTTTTGCCAGAAAATGAACTTGTGTAAAGCTGGGCACCAAGAAATTGTGGTTGCTAAAGAAATTAGTATGATTAAAAAACCAAGCCAGGCATGGTGGCAAACGCATGTAACCCCAGCAGTCTGGGAAAATGAGGCAGGAGGGTCACAAGTTCAAATTTTGCCTGAGCAATTTAGTGATTTAGAAAAACCCTGTTTCAAAAAAAATGAAAAAGAGGTGAAGACACAGCTCAGTGCAAAAGCCCTGGGTTCAATTCCTGGTATCACAAAAATAAAACAAAGAAAAAAACAAGAAGACAAGTACTTTGCACCAGGACAACAGACAAAAATTCTTCAAGGACATCTCAAGAATTGGCTAATCTCCACCTACTGCAGGTCCAAAGATGTAAAAGTGTAAAATTGTTTGAAAGATGTTGCTTTGAGGAGAGCCCCAATGTGCCCTGCTCACTTAACAGTGTATAGGGAAGTGTTTGCCTGAGTTCTGCCTTCCAGGTACTCAGAGGCCACTGCATCCATGGTCCAAAGAGGCCTGGCTAATGCTCAAGCTGGTCACACACCTTGGCATTGTCCATGTGATTCTGGTTTTATAGGCATAGAATGCAAGCATTATGGAGTCATGGATACTTCCACCCAGATTTCAAAAGAAGGGTTGGGAGGCCAGGAAATGTGTGACAGGGTTGGAGTCCCTGCCAGGAAATCTGGAGAGGGCAATGCATGAAGCTGTGGGAGGCTAAAGCTGTTATAGAGACCCTAGGAAGTTGGAGATACCAGGAACATAGGACATCTACCAAGAAAAGCCAGAGCCAATGAACAAAATCAGCCCAAGAGAGGCCATGTGGGCTGCAACCAGCAAAGCCACAGGGGCAATGCTCCCAAATCCCTCTGGAGCATACCCCTTGCTATCATGTGGCCTGGATGCTGGACATGGAACTACAGTATTTACTGATTACTCTACTGAGTTTTGATCTTGTTTGATCTGACTCTTTTCTATTTCCATATTCCTTCCTTTTGGAATGGAGATGTTAACCTTGTGTCATTGTATCTTGAGAGTATGTGATTTGTTTTGTCTTTGTTTTTTTATAGAGGTTTACAGATAAGAGTTGCCTTGAGTCAGAAGACTTGGACTTGGACTTTAAAGTAATGTTGAAATTGTTAAAACTTTTGGAACTCTTGGAAATAAACTAAATGTATTTTGCAATATGAGGTAGGCTTAAGTGTTTGGGGACAGGGTGGAATGTTATGGTTTAGATTTAAAAAAATGTCCCCCCAAAGGCTCATGTCTTCAGAAGTGGGGTTCTTGGAAGATAACTAGAGCATGGAGGCACTAATCTCATTGATCCATTGATGAGATCATATTTGAATATGCTATTAGAAGGCAGGGTTTAGTTAGAGAAAGTAGGTCCTGGGAACATAACCTGAAAGGATATAATCTTACGCCTAGCCTATTCCTTTCTCTTTGATATTTTCTTGATCTCTCTGCTTCCTGACTACCATGAGGTTAGCAGCTTTCCTCCAACATTCTCTTCCACCATGATGTTTCTCCCTTTGAACCAGTCAATCATGGACTGAAACCTCTTAAGCCATGAGCCAAAATAAACCTTTTCCCCTTTAAAAAATTGCTAGACCAGAGCATAGAAATTGAATGAAACCATGATGTCCATAATGTTCATAATCTCAATTACCTCTACAAAGACCTTTTTATCATTAAAGGTAACATATTTATAGGTTCCAGGAATCAGGGCATGGACATCTTTGGGAGGCCATTATTCTACCTACCACACATCCTGAAAAGGGCAAATTCTTCAAAGAGACCTAACAATCCTAAATGTGTATTCTCTTAATGAGACAGCTTCAAAATACATGCTGCAAAAACTAATGAATCTCAAAGGAAAAGTAACAAATAGACTTCATCATGCCTTACTAAGTAACTGAAAGAACAAATAGATGGGAAATGAATAAAAATAGAGACAACTTAAACAACATGATCACTCAACTGGCATAATGATATTTATAGAATACTCTACCCAACAATTGTAGAATATACATTCTTGTCACGTGCACTTGGAATAAGTTTTGTCAAGACATGCCATATTCTGGACTATAAAACAAACCTTAATAAACATAAAATAATAGAAGTCATACAATAAGTATTCAGGTAAGAACAATTAAGCCAGCAAAGAATAATAAAAATATCTGAAAAATCCAAAATTTTTGAAATTTTTAAGAAACATATTCCTAAATAACCTTGGATTAAGGAAGAAAGCTGAAGAGAAGTTAAAAAATATTTCTAGTGAGGCATGGTGGCACATGTCTATAATCCCAGCACTCTGGGAAGCTGAGGCAGGAGCCTTGCAAGTTCAAGCCCAGCCTGTTTTAGTGATTTAGAGAGACTCTGTCACAAAATAAAAATTTTTAAAGGCTAGGGCTGTAGTTTAGTACAAAGGCCCTGGATTCACTCCCCCATACCGAAAAGAAATTCTAACCAAATAAAAATTAAAATACAGCATACCAAAACCTACAAATGAAGTTGAAGCAGTATGCACAGGTAAACATACAATAATGCTTATATTAAGAAAGATTTTAAATCAGTAATCTAAGCTTGTACCTTAACAAACTAGAAAAAGAAGATAAAATCAAACCAAACTCAAACAAAAATAATAAAAATTTGAGCAGAAGTAAATGAAATTAAAAGTAGAAAAACCACAGAGAAAAAAATGAAACTAATTACTGTTTCTTTGATAAGATCAACATAATTGTTTAATCTCTAGTCAACTGAAGAGAAGATTGCAAATTACCACAATCAAGATCTTAAAAGGATAATAAAGAAATGTTATGAACAATTCTACATGCATACATTCAGCAATGTAAAATATTAAGTTAGATGGAATGTAACCACTTCCTTT